TGTGCCCCGGACATCCCGCTACAGTCCGGAGCAGGGGCTCTTCTGGTGAACTGAACTTCACATGAGTACCCCAGGCTTACCCTTGGCCGTGTTGGTAAAAGGACTACTCCTACTACCACTACTAAAGCCAGTACACCGTCCCATCAACACAGCCATAGACCCATCCAGGAGATACAGGGTGAGTGAGGCAGATTATCATCAAGCAGCGTGAACTAGTTAGTGGTCTAGGGTTGAGCAAAATATTTTCAGCAAACACTTAGAGCTTTACTGTGTGCCAGGCGCTCTTCTAAGGACTTACAAATATTAATTAATTAAGTATCCCAATAACCTTAAGATGTAAGGAACTGAGGTACAGAGAACTGAGTGTTTTGCCCAAGGTCACCCAGCTAGGGAGTGATGAAGCCTGAATTCAAACTCAAGCAATCCAGCCTGGCTCTAAAACCCATGCTCCTACTCACTTGCCAACAATTGCTCACTAATGGGAGTTTTGATATAAAATTATTTTATATTAGTTAATCCAAATTTTCCAGTTGCTCCCTTATCCCATAGACCTGTGGGGGAAAGTATGGAGAGGTGACCTTGCCCTCCTCTGCACAGAAGGGCCAGGCCCAGAAAAACAAACCTTTAAACCACAGAATATTTTGAGAAAAAACAGACAGTTTTCAAGACTTGTGAAACCAAAACAAGGGGAGAGGGGTCAAAGAGACAACAAAGAACATAAATATGAAAGATATATTTAAACTTGGAAATGGCTATTTGAAAATTTGTGTTTATAAGACTTGTGGGAAAATCTGCCCTGACCACAAGGTTTCTTGGGCAGTAGAAGGTGATATAAGCAGGGTTTTAAGTTTAATCAGTTGGGTTTGTTCAAAGAAATTGCTTTTGAGAATTTAATTTTTTTTTGTTTTTGCTTGTTAAAGAGTATAATTTAATTACATATTTATTATGTTTCCCCTAATTTCCTACTTTGTAGGGGCCCTAGATCTTGCACAAGGTGGTTTCTTGAGCAAGGTCACATGGCTAAGTGACAGAATCAACATTCAAAGCTGACTCCAAAACTTGGGTGGTTCCTAGTTTGCCACTTCACTTCCACTTGGTCCTGGTGATCCTATTCCATCCAGTCATTCCACAACGTGGAAACAAATGCCTACTAGATACAGGCCTTCTGCTCTGGTTGTACTGAGAGAAGTGACTATTCAAGCTCTCCTCTGATGTCAGTCTCACCATAGTTAGGACTAGAAAAAACTCTAAGTTCAATTAATTTAAGGCCCATTGCTTAATGACCTTGAACACTCCCAGCAGTTCTTCCTTGCCCTTCCTTGCTTCCACCCACCCAGCTGAGTTGGGCAATTTTACTTCTGGTAGTATTAACCTTGTGGTTTTACATCTCTGCACAACTTCCTCTTAAACCAGTGCTGCTAGTTCTCAGTGCCACCTACCACCAATCCCTGGTTCTTTCTTTGAATCTAACCTCCTCAAGACATTCTTTCTTCCATCTGTCAAAATCCCAAAGCAAGCCAAAATTCTTTTTTTTTAAAGTGTTGGTTTTCTTGTCTGATAAAAATAATGCTTAAGAAAGAAAACTTGTAAAACAAAATGTGTATACACACACATACAGATCCAAAGATCACCTCCTGGTGTGTGCCCCATAAGTCTTTTTCTTTTTTTTTTTCTTTTCTTCATAAGTCTTTTTCTGTTCGTAGATGTAGAAACTTATCTCCAGATCTGTCAAGGAATTCTTTGAAAAAAAAAAAAAGAGACCTGGCAAAATGATAATAGCTACCATATTTGAGTACCTACTATTGATCTTGGGTGGCCACAGCCTGCAGTGGCTTGAAGCAGGGTTTCGATTCCTGGCCAGAGACTGAGGTTGGGCAGCGGCAGTGAGAACGCTGAATCCTAGCCACTAGACCAGTGGCCAGGGACAAGGACCTGGCCCTTCGGCTTTGCAGAAATAAATTCCCACCATACATGGAAAGTAGTGAAACAAAGGGTTTAGTAGGAGGGAAAAGAGTACGTGTGGATGGACACACGGGCGGGCTCAGAGAGAGAGTCACACCCCCGTGGTAGTTTGAATCACTTTTATGGGGCATTTCTTCTGGGTTTCCTTTGGCCAATCATCTTGCTTTTCCTGGTTCTGTGCCTGTATTTGGTATATCTCAGGGTTTTCCCATGTGTGCACACGCATCTCTTAGCCAAGATGGATTCTAGCAAAGAGGCCTATGGGTAGGTTGACATCACTTATTATGAGGTGATGCCCCCCCCTCCCTTTTGACCTCCGAGGAACCTTTCTGCAAATGTATAGTTGGGAAGGTCTCCTTGACCTCGAGAATAAGAAATATGTGATCTCTGTCTTTTATCTGGGCAGGGCTCAGCTCTTCTCTCACTTCTATTTTGGAGTTTCTGTCCACAGGGAACGAGCTCCAGCTGTTCAACCTGGGGCCCATCTATCTCCTGCTTCACTATGAGTCAGATTTGTGCTTTACTTTATATCTATAATTTCTAATCCTCATAACAATGTCGTTAGGTGGTATTATACTAGCTGGGCTTAGTTATAAATACATTCATTCATTCAACAAATATTAATGTTTACTGGGTACTTACTAATTTGCCTGGCACCTGAGACATATCGATGAGCAAAAGAAACAAAACTCCCTGCCCTAGTGAAACATACTCTAGTGGGAGGAGACTGGCAGTGAATAACAATATAATTAACAGTAATAAACTTAGAAGATAGTACTTTGGAAAAAAATTTATTTTAAAGAGGAGTAGAGGAGGATAGAGTCACAATTTTGAATAGGGTGGTCATAATATGGCCATAAAAGGTGGTCATAGGCCTTTTGAGAAAGGCCTATGCAGACTGGAAGGAGATGAAGGAGTCAGCCATGCAGGTGTCTGGAGGAAAAGCATTCCCAACAAAAACCATTCCAGCCATGCAGGTGCCTGGAGGAATAGCAAGTGCAAAGACTTTTGAAGCAGGAGCATGCCTGGTGTTGAGAAATAGCAGAGAGGCCAGTTTGGATGGGCAAAATGAGTAAAGGGGAAGAGTTAAGAGATAAAGTCAAGGAGGGTGCAAACCATGTGGGAACATGAGGGCTACCCACTGCAAGCAGCTTTGAGGTCCCATCTTTACGGCTTCACATCTAGAGATGAAAGAAAGCCTCTGCTCCTCCAGTTCCAACATAAGTGAATGACTTCAACAAGTCTGATTGCATTAATTCCTGGACCAATTGCTGTGTTATAAAATGATTGACCCAAACAGGTCACATGTTACCCATTGGGTTAGAGGGTAAGGTCTAGTATAAGGAAAAAGAGAATTGGTTTTGGATAAACACCCCAGGTGTTATTTAAAAGATTTGGAAATGAAGCCCAGGGAGGTGAAATGATTTGCGAAAGGTCACACACATGTGTTAAGTGCTTTGGGATTTTAACCTAGTTCAGCCTTGAAAACCATTGTTCTTTTCTGTTAACTAGAGCTGGGTACAAGTTCTATTGCTTTTAGGCAGTCACAGAGAGAGGCCATCCCATCCTATAGAGTTTTGCTTGTGGTGACTTCCTGGGAGTGCCTCAATGTTTGGGGTGGGGTGACCATGTATTTGGGGGTTGGGATGCTCAAACACATGAGGGAGTGGCCAGACTTCAGTGGGGTACTCCTGAGTAAACATAGTTGATGAATCCTTTTAAACTCATTGCTAAGAGCCAATCTCAACACATATTTCAACTCATATTTTAGGAGCATTGGCTCCTAAATTCAAATGGTAGTTGCATCAGCCAGGCTGATTTCAACATAGATTTGCTTGGGAGCCCCTAAGTTATGACAAAAGGTGAATTTGCCATTGCTATGGTTAGCTCTCCTGAAATCATTAGGAGGAAAGCTTCTGATAGAAGCCAAAACTGTGGAACAGACTTTGGGTTTTGATGAGACTATTCAGCCATTTGATCAACCAACCCAAAAGTGCACCCTCTCTCTGCACTTTGTGAAAAGAAAATCAAAATGCAGTCAGTATCACTAGGAGAGCTCTCTAAAATGGAGCTGAGAGGCCACTGAGGAAGTGGGATTTTTGCATGTC